TGAAGTAGAAAAGCTAGGGAGATGGAAATTTCGGAGCATTCTTCCTTATGTGATCTGTGCGTTGTGGAATTATTCACGTACGCCTAAGTGTCACGAATTACACCTAGTTATATTTTGGGTTGCAGCTGTGCTATGCATTAGGGCATGTCTAAAATATTCGTAGCTAAGTGACAATTTCAAGAAATTGGCAAGTCAGGAAGCTGGGATTTTGCGAAGGTTCTCCATGCCTATATGCGACTTAAAAATTTTGCCTATGTGCGACTTAAAGAGCACATCTAGGTGCCATTTTACATACAAGTGGAATTTCAGTTTTGGAGAATTTTGGCACTCATTTACTGTGTAGCCAGACTAGGCAGGGGTCGAAATTTTTTGAGAGTTTTTACTGTCCAATCTGTAAGTTTGTAAACATAAAATTAGCTTCTGCTTTCGCATTCAAGAATTTATGAGTGGCATTATTTCATATTTAGAGTCACTCGGTCCAGCAGTGCCACCAGATAACTCTCCAAAGCAGCGTTCTTCGCGATCGAGGTCTCGATCTCGGTCCCGGCATAAACGGAAGCACTCACGAGATCGAAGTAAGCGTCGTTCGCGATCTCGCGACCGGCGCCATTCGCGGAAAGGAAGCCGATCGAGACGAAGTCGCAGTCGTCGGCGAAGTCGTAGCCGAAGCAAGCGAAGTCGCAGCCGTGGTAGGCACAGTCGGAGCAGAAGTAGACACAAGCGTCGTAGAGGTTTGCTTTGCAACTTTTCACATAAATTTAAGCGATATTTCGTACTGGGAATGAAAAACTGTTTATATTTCAGACCGAACCAGCTCGCCTCCAAAAGGGCCTGAGGAGGAGAACGACGGAGCTGAAACAAATGTGAGTGCCCTAGTCTTTCTTACCAACTGACATGGTCAAACCTGCTCAGTTTTTTGGTTTTCTTTTGCGAAATTTCGTTTGAGCTAGCTATTGAAAAAGGAAAACATATTTGAGATGCATGCTGTTTCGCATGCATTGCATGTATGCATTCCCAAATCAGGAATCATTTTCTACCATCCAGTTTCTGGAGGGTAGAAAAAGGATTGAAATAAAAAATGCATAAGATGAATAGATGGGCACAAAAGCCGGACGATCGTACACTACAATTAGCTTAAAAACGTGGGGAAATGAGAAGTGGTTTCAGAAATGCTGCAGTTGTTTAAATGCTAAATTCAGCTGCAACAAAAGTAAACAGAACAGTTTTTTTACGTTTTCTCAGCTCAGTCCTTTCGTCTTCCCTGCCATGCTTTTTTTGTCTTATCCCCTTCTCCCACACGTTTTTCTCAAGAAGTGAATTTGTGCGTATCACTTTTTATACGTTTTTTGCAGCTATGCAATGCAGAAAACGCATATTGACGAAAGGTTGTCTGTGTGCGTGTGTGTGTCTGTGTGTGCGCTGGTCCTCCGTACCGATTTTTCATCTCGAGACCTACAAAAGCTACAGGACTGAATGTTTGGGAACTTAATCTGCATGCACGTACGGGCCCCTATCCGCAAAATGGACGGTCGTACCCGCGTGGTACCCACGTAAGAGCCCACCAGAGTTTCTTACGGGTAAGCTGCTAACTCGGGAACCAGAAATGTTTTGGGGGCTGAAATTTTAAGGGGATGTTTCCCGTCCAAGTAGGTATTAGTGAGCTCAAACCCAGCCCTCGGGTAAGCGTGGTACCCGAGTACGAGCCCGCCAAAATTTTTTCCGGGTAAGTTCACAACTCGGGGATCTCTAATGCTAGAAAGCTGAATTTTTAAGGGGATATTCCCCGTCTGCTTATGTCTCATTGAGCTCAAACCCAACCTCTGGATATGCGTGGTACCCACGCACGGGCTCACCAAAGTTTTTCTCAAGTAAGTTGCTAACTCGAGGACCTGAAAAGCTAGAAGACTGTAATTTTAAGAGGATGTTCCCCGTCCACGTAACTCTCAACAACCTCAAACCCAGACATCGGCATGCATGGTACTCACGTACGGGCCCGTGAAAGTTTTTTCCAGTAAGTTCCTAAATCGGAAACCAAGAAAGCTAAAAAGCTGAAATTTTAAGGGGGTGTTTCCTGACAGTTCTGGCGGCCAGACTTAATTTTTTTAGCTAAAAGCGTTTGTCGAAAAAACTGGTGTCGGTAGCGAAAAAAACTGCGGGGAACTATGCAAAAAACGCATCTTCGCACGGTCAGCCCGTGCGTTGGCCAATTATTTTTTTATGCGTTTTGTGCTGCAACGGTTGCACATAGCGCATATTGTCGACTTCTGTGTGTGTGTTTGTGTGTCCCGAGTGCATTTTGTCTGGGGGTTTCAACTCAGGAACTACGAAGGCTGGGAAGCTGAAATTTTACTCTGGTGCTCCTCGGACGCGTGCAACCCAGCATATTTAATTTCAGTC